AAAGAAAGAAAGAAAGAAAGAAAGAAAGAAAGAAAGAAAGAAAGAAAAAGAGAAAAAAACACCACCACAACCACCAACAAAAACCCAACAACCAACAACAATGACTTCTCGTCTCAGGACCTTAGTATTTATATACCCTCTGAAAAGTCCCCAGAATTTCAGACATCACATAATCGCAGAAACTATCTGCAGCCGGAAAAACCACACCTCTGCTAGAACATGAGCCAAGTCATAGTCAGGGGCTTTGGACAATCCGAAGCAGCCCCACATCCCCACACCTGGGGTTAAAATGAGGGCACAATCTTACAATATTTCTGTGTTTTTCAAAGAAACTCACTACCCATCACACAGTCACACCATCCATCCATGTGGTGAAGATAGAAGAGGAGACAAGATAAGATCAAGAAGGTTGACATTCAGCTTTAACTGTCAACTTGACACAGCCTAGAGAAGGTAGTCTCAGTTGAAGGATTACCCTGAGCAAACTGGGGACATGTCTCTGGGGCATTGTCTTGGTTGTTAGTTGCTATAGAAGGGTCCAGTCCACCATGGGAGACACCATTTCCTGGGCAAGTGGTCCTGAGCTGTATAAGAAAGCCAGCTAAGCAGGATCCTGCAAGCAAGCAAGCAAGCAAGCCAGCAGACAGCACTCCTCCATGGCCTCTGCTCCAGTCACTGCTTGAGTTTGTGTCCTGATTTCCTTCAAAGATGGCTTGTGACCCAGAAGCATTGGCCAAATAAACCCTTTCCTCCATAGGTTGCTTTTGGTCAGAGCGGTTGGGTTTTAAAGATTTTAAAAATATGGTCTGTGTGTATTTGTGTGCACTGTACCAGTTTATATGCACCATGTGTGTGAAGTGCCTGAGGTGGCCAGAGAGGGGCATTATACACCTTGGTCTGGAGTGACAGGACGTGCTGCCCAATGTGGATGCCGGAAAATGAACCTGGGTCCTCACAGAAGCAATAAGCATGTTAAGTATCGAGCCATCTTTGAAGCCCCTGGTCAGAGCGTTTTAGTCACCAGCAGCAGAAAGAACACTGACATGACCCTCAGTACTGAATGAACAACAGAACACAAAAGAACTCCAGGGAAGTAATCACAAGATGATTTCAAGATGGCACAGTATTTATGTCATTTCATCACATCCCCCAGACAATCTTTAGAGGTAGGAATTATTGTCCCCTTTCATAAGAGAGAGAAAACTGAGGCCCAGATAGGGTTCATTGCTTGGTTAGGGTCACACAGGGACAATGGCACACTGGTCCTTATACCTTATGACTGCCTCTCCATCTTCTGTCCAGGAAACAGGGTTGTCAGGGCCAATAAAAGGACAACGGAGGTAGGGACCTTAGAGGTGCTGTGAGTTAATCTACCCTAGTTTCTTGCTATGGTGTCGGCTCTCCACAGACTGCTTGTTAGCCAGAGAAGTGCGTGTACGTGTGGATCTGTGTGTCTATTCTTCTAGAACTTGTTTGTCAGTTGTTGAGTCCAAGTCTTACCCATCACTCTCTTCTGGAAGCAGAGAGGAGATGGCTGCTCCCTTCTGTTCCCCAAGTTTACACTTCTGGCCCTTCCTTTCTCTTCAAAGCCATCCTGGAGTGCTCCTCAAGGCCCAGCTGTGTCACCCACCTGCCTGTGGTGCTTGTTTTTTCATCAGGAGGTCCCTGGCTGAGGCTTGAGGGTGTCAATGTTGCACTTGGCCCCAGGGGTCTTGCCAGGCTCCATGGGCTAGTAGGCATCCATAGTAAGGAGACAGTTCAGCCCACAGCTATGCCTGCTCAACTCTGGACCAATGATCTAGAAACTAGAGGCGAAGTCTGAGCTCTGTATAAGGAAGGAGGCAGAGTCAGTAGGCTGTCAGCGCCCCGGGCTCTGTTGTCTCCACTCCTGCCTGGAGAAGTGGCCCTGTTGCTCAACTAGGAGGGATGGTTCCCAGCAGGATTTTTGCTGCCCAAAGACAGATATCTCCTCTTTCTTTCTCTCTTCTTCTTCTTCTACTTCTTCTCTTTTTCCTTCTCCTTCTCCCTCTCCTCCTCTTTCCCTTCCTCTTCCTCCCCACTCCTCTGTGTGCATGTGTCTGTCCATGTCTATGTGTCCATGTGTCTGACCTTCTAGCCTAGAATCTGGTTTGCCATTCTCCAGCCCTGTGCTGTTCTCTTGAGTAGAGCAGTTCCATGTGGTCTTCTCTCAGAAGTGGCCTTGCTTTGGTCCATGCCAACCTGTCTCTGGAGGAGGGGCCCTCCAGATGGGACTACAGACACCCCATGGCTTAGTCTGTGCCCTCAGTCTCCTCTGTGAGCTCACCAGTGTAGCATGGGAGTGGGAACTGGAGAGGGAAAGCCCAGATTCAGCCTTTGCGTCCCTCATTGGGAGAGCCTGGCCCTCACTGACCTGAAGGGGCCGGCAGGCAGGAAACAAGTGGAAAGGTGCTATCTGTAGGCTTCCAGGACAGAAGGGACCAGCATCCACAGTTGGAGAACATCAGAAGACATGCAGCCTTGGTCATCTCTACTACCAACCCCTCTGTGGCCTCAGGTCTTAGTCACTGTTTCTTCTCATGCAGAACAGGACTCTGGAAACATTAGCCATCCCAGGGGCTCCTGGGACCAGCTCTTGTCTCCAAATATATAGAAGAGCTTGAAGGGAACAGAAGGAAGCTGAGGACACAGTGGCCCTGGGTGAAGGAAAGGCAGCTCTGCTGTCCTTGTGCCTCAGGGCCATTGTCTGGTCTTTAGTCCTCTTCTGGCCTTCTGAGTCCACTGGAAACGGCCTCTCAGCTCACTGAGTTATCTTAGACCAAGCAGGCTTCCACAGTGTCTCTGATCCTTCAGGAGGGTGTAACCAAGGTTTAGCAGAGCTGCTGCCCAAGTTGTATGCTACAACAAACAGAGAAGAGAAGTGAAGAAGGGCCAAGCCCGGCTCTCAGTGCCCTGATACCTCTGGGTGATCTCTGACAGTCTCTGGACTCTGCATTATTCTTTCATCCCCTTAAGGGACATGTGGGGTCATTATGCCTGGCTACTCTCCTCCTCACTGGATGTTGCTGGTCCTCTTGACTGGACACACAGACTTAGTACCATAGTCCTTAGATACCCAGGGTTTGGCCCCAGGAGACCAGGGCTGGATCTACTTACTTCCCATGTGTCTCTTCTTCCAAAACCCATAGACCACGACCAACACCATGGGTGCTGGAAGGAATGTTAACACCACCACAATTGCAGTGAGGTAAGTCTCCTGGGACCTGAGGAGGCAGGATGGAGGGAAGAGTTAGCACTACGGTCTCCACCTTGGTCACAGCTTCCTTTGGCAGCGTGAAACACAGACCAGGCAGGAGGCCTTGCAGCACTCCCCGCCCCACCCCAGGTAGATGGCCTTTCTCTCTATCTCTCTGTCTCGTCTCTCTCTCTTCCCTCTTCTCCTTGGATCTAGACATGGGAAGAGAAAAGGAGACGTCAGAGTCCCAGGAAGCATGTCACCAAGAAGGGAGCATTGCCACCTCATACCTCTCCTCCATGGAGAGGGGTCGTCCTCACACCCATATGTCAGCGAAGACAAGGACACTACAAAATGCCCATTCGGGACTGAAAGATGAAGACTTTTGCCTCCACAGTGACTGGGTGCCCTCTTGTACCCTTTGTCCTCTGTAGCAGAAGCACCCTATTTACGTGTCACTAAGGCCTGCACAGTCCTTTGTCACTGGGGCCCTTTATGCTGCCCCCTACCGATTGAGAACAGGAGTTGGCCTATCACTGTCCTAGCTCCATTGGCCTTGAGCGGGCATCGAGCAAGATGGGGCGGTGTTCTTGTGTGCACAGTAGAGGCTGCCCGTAGCACAGTTTGCCACTTGCATTCTATGTCCCACTTCCAAAATGCTGCTCCTCACCTCAGGGTCTGAGGGAACCCAAATAAAGCATCCCCATTTCCCATTTCCCAACCCCTTGGCCAGCCCTCCCTTCTCCTCTGCACCCATGGTCCTGACCCTCATCCCCATTGCTTTCCATTATGGCCCTTCCCGTTTCCCATAATTCTATTCGGCATCGGGCTACACTGAGATCCTGGGGAGCAATAGGAAGGGTTGGATACGAGGGTGGCCTCTTCATATCTGTGAGGCTCCAGGTGCTAGGGTCACACCAGATAAAACATCAGGTAACCTGCTGGGGGTTAGCTGGTGGCACATCCCCGTGGTGGACAGGCTGCTCATCAGGTGTCCGGTGGAGGTGGTCCCTGGATCAGCAGAGAACGGTCTTGCGTTGCTAGGAGACAAGGTCACTGGCTGGGACTCCGTGCTCCTCCCGTGCTCTGTAACAGTGTCACTGGCGTCAGTGAGACGGTGGTGTGTCACAGAGGTTGGTGCAGTGGTCCCTGAGGCCAAGGTGAGGAGTCCAGATGTGAACACAGTCACGTCAGAGGCGAAAGGGGTATGAGGGTCTGAACTAGGGGTTTGGCCCGTTGTGACAAATCCACTCTTGAGGGTGTTGGTTAGATGTGTGGGAGGAATGTTTCTCTCAGTTGTGAGGGCTGAGGGACCAGAGAGGGAAAAAAAATGTATTAGATTAAGGCAGAGGCTTGTGTGCAAGGAACAGGATTCACAGCCCCCTCAGCTGTCAGGGACAATGGCAAGAGCCTAACCCTCTGTGACATTGGGCGTGGCTTCTAAGTGTCAAGTGTGTATTCTTTCAAGAGCGATTTGAAGGAGGGGACACTTAAAGGGAGGAGACATTAGAACAATCTCTTTAGCCTCCCCTATCAGGCCTGCTTTCAGAGAGGTTTCATCTTCCTTCCTCGCTCCCTGTCCTTTACCAGGCTCTCCTCAATCACAAGCACCAGAGAGTCCCTCTTCAAATTCCATTCATTCACTGTGTGTTTGTGTGTCAGTGTGTGCCACAGCACACGTGTGGAGGTTGGAGGACAACGTGTCATTCCATCATATGGGTCTTGGGGTTTGAACCTGGGTCATCAGGCTTGATGACAAGAGCTTTGACCCACTGAGCCATCTTGCTGTCCTTTTTAGAGTTGAAGAGATATTTCTATAATATGATGCTACCTAAAGTAGCATCAAAAGGGAACAAGAAATGGAGACAGAGAGGGGCCTGGGGTCCCAAATTCTGGAGGAAACAGCAATAAGCTGGGATCAAACACCTTCCTCGGGATGCACTGAGACACACAGATGCAGGCCTTGCCCCTTCAGAAGCTCATGCCAACCCTTTCTGCCCAGAAGCTTGGGGTCTGCATGCAGGAACTGCAATTAGGAGTTCTGACTCTCAGCAGGAGCAAGACAGGGAAAGGCTTCCAGTGTCGCGACCGGCCTTTGCCGATAAGGACGATGCAACAACCGAGGATTTCTTCAGCGGCAAGTTTATTGTTACAGCTCTTTTAGCAGATGTTACAGCTCTTTTAGCAGATGGTGAAGGACCCAAACCCCGGGTTGTGCTCTGCTTAAATAGCCAGCAGAGAGGCGTGTTCATCTGTAATTGGTGCTCTGCTCAAGTCTTCATAAGCATATGGCTGGCAATTGGAGTGCAGCCTGAACCCTCATTAGCATAAACCTGCGCATGCGTAAACTGCAGGGTGGCGCAGGCAAGAAGCGCGAAAATGCTGGCAAGAAGAACCAGGAAGCAGGAAGCCGGCGCCATCTTGTAATGGCGGGAGCGGCTCCCGACATTCCAGCTCCTCCACTGGGCATAGAAAAGACACATTCCTGAGGCCAGCCATCACTGTGCAGGGAGGCCCGGCACTTGTTCTGAGCAAGTGAAGCCTGAACATCAGTGTAGGTGAGGGAGGAGGTGGAGGACGAGGTCAACGTTTGCCTATACTCCCATTGTAAGGACACCTGAAGAAACCTCCAAAGGGGTACCTCAGGAGAGCACGCATTTAGACATACACATCAGAGACTTTCAAAGCATTGGCAGGAAAGAACTCTGTCAGCAGAGGGGACCTCCACAACCATTAGCTAAGCCAGGCCACTAATGGTCTTCCCTCATTTCTGTTCAACACATCAGTGGGGGAGAAGGAGCGTCAGGAGAGTGATCAAGAGGAAACTATCCCACCTCCAAAAGTGAAGGAGCTGGGCAGGAGAGCTGCTGCTTCCTCAGCTCAGCTGTCCTGAGCTACAGAGCCTGGCTGATGCGGGTGAGACACAGACTTCTATTAGAATTGTAATTGGCTGAGGCTTACATTTTTTTCCATATTTATTTATTTATTTATTTGGGGGTGGGCACACACATTCCTGGCATGAGTTGGGAGATCATGCCAGGATCTCTCCTTTCAAGAGTCATTTCTCTCCTTCTACCATATGAGTCCCAGGGATCAAACTCAGATCATCAGAACTGGCATCAAGTGTCTTTTCCCACTGAGCCATCTCACCACTGGCAGGAGATTTTTTTTTTCTCTTAACTGAAAACACTGGCAAAGTTGAAAATTCCCCAAGATTATCCTTAAGAAGCAGAAAATGAGGAACTGGAGAGGAAGCTCAGTCAGCAAAGTGCTTTTTCATGCAAACATGAGGCCCCGGAGCCCAAGCATGGTGGTGCATGCTTACAATCCCTGTGCTGGAGAGGCAGAGACAGGTGATCCCTGGGGTCGCTGGCCAGGTAGCCTGACCTACTTGGCAAGTTCTAGACCAGCAACAAACCCTGTCTCAATGAAAATTCAAAATAAAGTGAAATAAAATAAAAGAGTGGGTGGCACCTGGGTGTGGCACCTGAGTTTGTTCACTGGCCTCTGTATGCACATGTATACATGCACACGTCCACAAACATACTTGGACAGACATATACACACAAACACACACACACACACACACACACACACACACACAGAAATAATAAGAGAAATGACGGGAGAAACGATGATAAAAAGTAAGTCCATTTCATGAAGGCACCACATCCTTCCAAATGAAGACCCCAGAGCCAGTTTCACCTGTTACTTGGGTTGACATGGAACTAGACAGAAGAGATTCGGTCCCACAACTGAGAAATAAAGCTCTTCCTGGTTCAGCCCAGGGAGGGTAGAGATGGACTCAGGTAAGGGGAGCAGGAGAGGGCAGGTGGCGACTTTCATAACTGGTGGCTTTCCCCAGAACTTGATGGCTCCTCACCCTTTTCTGTCTATACATCTCCATTCTGACTTTTCTCTCTTATTTTCTGTGCATGAGAGAGTTTTTCTACCCCCTTGATTTGAGATGAACAGTTTTATTGAAATATGCTGAAGGAGAGCCCTTGTCTTTAGCTCACACCCAGCCCTAAGCAATGGTCTTCAAGTGCCCTTGACTGTCTTTATAGAGACACTTTCAAGTGCACATCCCAGTTCTGCCCCCCCGTCACTAACACTTCAGCTGCCTGGGTCACCTCGCCACTGGATCCTGCCAAGTGCTACCCATGAAAACAGGGCACCTGATTTCCCCTCGTAAGAAGCTCTCTTTGGAGTTTCCCCACTTGACAAATGCTACCATCTAGCTACTGATGGGTCCATATTCTCTTCCAGTCTCCCACTCGAGCAAATCCTGCCCTCACTCCAAAATACACAGAAAGTCTGAAAAAAGCAGAGGTGAGTCCATCTAACACCCCCCTCCCCACCTGTACTGCCCAAGTCCCACTTGTCCAAGCCACTGCTTTTGTCAGTCAGGCCTCCACCTTGGTCTCATTGCCTCTTCTCACAGTCCTGCCTTTCGAAAGCCATGACTGTTGCCTCGCAAAGAAGAGACTGAAGACATGACTCAGTCAGTAAAGTGCTTGCCTTGAAAGCATGGGCCTGGGCACGTTGGTGTGTGCTTTTGATCTACACAGAACTTGCTAAGACTCATTTTCCTTGTCTGCAAAGTGGTGACAGGAAACGTACGTAGTGAAGAGCCATAATTACACTAGCCACCAAGGCAGGCTCTGGGCGGGTCTGCTCACCTGGATACACCTCCAGCTGGAAGCCCACCAACGGGTAGAGATTCCCAGCCGTGTTGCGCATACACCAGTATCGCCCGGAGTCCTGTACTCTGAGGGCCTCCATGGTGATGTGGACCACCTTAGCCTTGGCATCATCCCGCATCAAGTAGCTGGGCCCCTTCACCCAGCTCCGGATGAAGCCGACCTCACACTTCTTCCTCTTCACCTTGCACCAAGCCTTGTCCTCCATGCGGTTCCGGCGGTTCTTGTAGGAGCACTGCACAGACAGAGACTGCCCTTCACGCAGCTGCACTTTCTTGTACAGGTGCTCATTGGAGGGACCTGGGGAGACAGGACTTGGTCAGCAAGGGCTGCAGAGGAAGAAGAGGACATCTTGAAACTTGCCCTGACATTCCTGGACCAAGGTGGGAGCACAGCCCTGCCCTCAGAGAGTCTGGTGGGGAGAGAAGCACAGGACCATAAGCAAAAGGTTATTGCGTAATTCAAATGCTGATTTCTGTAACCCCCATATCTGGCTGCCATCCTTGTTCTGAGGATCTCCTGCCTCAGTGTTGTATAAACACTGCTCCCCAATTGTCCCCTGATAGGCCAATAAAGCAGCTTACAGCCAATCACTGAGCCGAGGAGAGACTTCCTGACAGCCAGGGGAGGAGGGATTAGAGGAAAAAATTAGGGGATTCAGCCACAGGAGAGGTCCAAGAGACAGCAAGAGAGAAGAAGCTGGAGCAGGAAAGCTACAAAGCACAAGTATCCCTGGGATGTGCACTGGGAGGAAGCCAAGTTAGCCTAGAGGGTTAAGAATAGAGTAATAGCTGCTCAGTTACTGTGCTGTAAAGCTTATTAGTCAATAAATATAGAGTCTCACTTATTTGTGTGACAGTCAGGTTAAGAGAGAAACTGAGAAACAAACACAGTTTTATAAAAATAGCATTAACACAGGAACCTTTAGCAGGAAGGAAGGAGACCCCAGTCCAACGAGGAAACACAACCTTAGCACCAGACCTCCTCCATCAGATACAGTCCCTTTTCCTCTGGATATTTTTCAGTCCTCAGGGATGCCCAGTATTTCAGGACAGACCCACCTCAGGGAGGCAGATATGCAGACACAAAGAGGTCATCAAACTCTGGAACCCAAGAGCACGAACTCCTGAGGTGACGAAACGGTACCTTATCTAGGAAAATGATGGTTTGTTTTTCCCAATAATAACCTTTCCTCCTCCTCTTTCTCTCTGCCCTCTTCACGCTCTACTTCCTGTTTTGAATGGAGTGGTGGCGGGGGGGGGGGGGGGGGAATCACACCCATGCTGGGCAAGCGCTCTAAGCTAGGCCGCACCCCTGTTCCCTGTTGAATATTATTTAAATAGCACTCTCCATGGTGCTTAATTTTTAGATATTGCAGTTTAACACAGATTAGCCATGCTGCACAAGCTTAGGCTCCCACTGATGAGCCAGCCAATGGATTCTACAGTATCCACTGTTCATCCATCTTTTGACTTTGGAACTTGACTTTTGCCAGGATGCTTGGGGCCTGCAGACTACTAGCTGGATATGCAAGGTAGAGTATCTGGTGTCTATACCTAAGAATGAGATGAGGCACATATCACAAGGGAGACTGAGGTTGAAAGATTAGAGTTTAAGACTAATTTGAAATACCTAATGAGCTCAAGCTAGCCCAGGACAAAACCCCATCTCTAAACAGAAAAAAAGGGCTGAGGAGATGGCTTCATGCTAAGCATGAGAGCCTGAGTTCAAACCCCAGGGCTCATGTAAAAAGCCAGACACCATCACTCATGTACCTGTAACCCCAGTGATGGGCTGGGGCCAAGAGCATGGGCTGGGCTGCACACACACATACACACACACACACACATATACACACGCACACTCTCATTCGAAAAGGAGGGAGAGAGAATGAATATAAATGAATGTATGAATGTGCTCTGTGCCCTTCATAATCCCAATCTGTTCAAGAAAGAATAGAGCTAGAGTTGGCAGGGCAATTCAGGAGACACAGAGAGGGAGAAGGTACAGTCAAGACCAGAAGCCCAGGCATCTGCCCCTGTCTCCAGAACTCATCACTGTAGCTGAAGCTCTGAAGTCTCTTCTTTCCTTGTCAAGTAAACAGAACAGAACAGGCCTCTCAAATTCACCACAGCCCAGCCCAGTGTTTTGAGAACCTTCTCTCTGCAGGGCAGGCAGAGATGGGGTCACCTGAAAGAAGCCTCTTGGGGTCCTGGGTTCATTTGAGCCTTCACTTTTTTCAAATGGTGAGAGGTGGGTTTCCCAGCCCTACCCAGAACAGAACAGAACAGAACAGAACAGGAAGTGGTAAGTGGTTGCCTTGGCAGTCAGGAAAGAAGGAATGGGTGAGTCCCCTGCAGATTAGCCTTGAGTAGGAAAAGTCCTTTGGGGATTGGTTCCCTTCGGGTCAGAGCAGAAGGACCGGATGTGGCGTCAGCATTCCATGAAATAACGGAATTTAAAGTGTGCAGACATGATACAAGGACTCACACCAGTACCAGCCAGACTAAGGCCAAACGGGTCATTTCTGTGAGGAAATGAAGTGTTTAGTCTCCAAACCAAGGAAACCCAGAAGATAAAGGACAATTAATATAAAGGACACAGCTATATCTGTCTTGTGAGAGACCTGGCTAAGTCTGCCTGGGGCCAGATAGGGAGCATGAGACGTTCTCACTGGTCTTTGGTAAAGATCTGCCAGTGGGCCCAACCTCCTTCCCCAACCCACAAAACGTTAAGATGGCGGAGCAAGAAAAGGCAGTGGAGGACAGGCAGGAGGAAGCCGTCTTTCCCTTCTAGGAGCCCCCACCTCTCACCTGAGACACAGCTCTGTAGCCACAGGAGCAGCAGCAGCAGCAGCAGGAACACGAGAGGCCATGGCTCCATCCAGAGACACTGTCACAGTCACCCGGGGAATCTAAGGTCACGGCTCACACTGACCCCGGGCATGCCACCTGGACCTACCAGGGAGGGATGTCAGGTTCTAAAAAGTACAGTAGCCGATTTTGGGAAGTGAGGCCGCGTGGTACACAGTGCCCAGCAGAGCCTATCGCAAGCTTGGGGTGAGCGAGTGAGGGCGGGGGCGCTGTCTGTTTCCGCCCTCTTCCTCAGAACTTCAGGCAGGTGTGGCTGTTCCACCCCGTCTTGGGGCCCCTGGGCCAGGGAAAGCTCCAGAACCCCACAACCTCTGTGATTCTCTACGGAAAACCTGATCCATCCGGGGGCGTCTCCTCATCCAAAGCAGCTGGTCCAGCCAGGGGACTGGAGGAAGGCTTCTGGAACATTCTGTAGAGACTTGATGGGATCTTCTGGGTTCAGGGCCTCAGGAGCAGGTGCTCTCTGGCTGGCGGTGGCCCTCTTCTACAGGGAAGGCCTTATGGCCAGTACAAATGCATTTCTTCAGCCACCCTGAGCCTCTCTGAGCCCTGGCCTGCTTACTTCAGTCACTTCTGCTCACTGGTGCAAAAAAAAAAAAAAAAAAAAAAAAAAAAAAAAACACCTCACGTGCATGCGCTCCTATTTTTGTCATGGAGGAAAAAGATGCAAATTTTAAAGCTCACACACACACACACACACACACACACACACACACACACACACACACAC